CAGGAGGCTGAGGGAACTGGGCCGCAGCTCCGGGGCTGTGCCAGCAGCAAGCTTCTTCAGCCGCACCCAGTCTCCCTGTTCCAGAGAGAACATCAAATGCGTGTCTGCTGCCCTTTCCCAGCCCGGTGACCTTAGGAACACCCCCCAACCTCAGTGGAAACGACTGCGACTCCCGGCCACCCTCCGTGCGGGCGTCGGAGTGGAACTGTGCTCTGTCAGGTTTCCAAGGGCTGGTTTTTCGGAAACAGGTCGCCAGGCCTTTCTTCCCAGGTACTTCCGGGGAGACTTGAGCCAAACACGTTCACCACCCCACCCCACCCCAGGGGACGGGACACCTCTACCCCACAAAGGGAAATGGTGAAAACGTCCCCGTCTCTGCACCCCGTTCTGCCTGTCCAGAGTAAAGCCCATCAACAGAATCAGCAGTCAGACTTTGACGGCGGATCAGCCGGGCCAGGCCTAACCCCACTGCTTTCCAGCTCCGTGCGCCTGGGCAGGTGGGTCCAGCTTGCTGAGCCTCAGTTTCTAATTCTGTAAAGCGAGGATAAGACCCCTACCCACCTGGCCTGGGTACAGTTGGGGGGTGGGAAGGACCAAGGAAGCATGCCAGCACCCTTCTCCAAGGGTCGGCTTTACCTGCAGGTCACGGGGTGGGAGCAGGGGAACCTAGCTCTGCCCTGTCCTCAGCTCCCCTGGGTCTGAGGGCCCCCTCCCCACTTCTTGAAGGATTTTCCCTCCTCCACGCCACCTGCAGCCTGGGGCACATGCTGCCGGGCCCCTCACTCCAACAGAAAAGGAAGGGGTGGAGCTCCCAGGGGACGAGGTGGGAAAGGAAGAGCAAGAGTCGGACACTGGTTCTGGTCCAAGCCATGACCACCTTGCCACTGTGAGGTTTTCAGGATGTGAGGCTCACCATCCGGAGAACTGATGGTCCCTGAGGAGCAGGGTCTGAGGGAGCCTACCATCACCTTCCCTTGACAACCTTAGCTTCTGGCTCACCTGACCTCTGGTCCTTGTGAGATGGTGGCCCAGCTTCTGCCCCAGGCTGGGTACTGCCCCCACACGTCAGGGTCTCAGAAACCAGGCAGGGGTGGGTCTAGGCCAGCTTGAGGTGGTTACAGACTGGCCAGGCCCAGGGTCAAGTGGCTGGACCTGTTTCCCAAGGCCAGAGCTGAAGCCATGCCAGGTTGGCACTGGAGCCCTGTTGGGGTTTGCTGTGACCCAGGAAGGGCACGCTGTGTCTCCCCAGGCCTCGGTCTTCCAGCCTGTACCCGGAGTGGAGCAAACAGGTCCCTCAGTTGCCCCCAGACTGACCACCATTCCCCAGGCTCAGCCACAAGGGCGGAGAGGCCCTTACCTGGTACAGGGCCACGTTGGTGGGCTCCTGAGAGGCCAGCAGGCTCCTCATTGACCCCTGGGCCACTGACCTCAGGCTCCCGCCCTCTGCCACACTTCGAGACTCACTTGTGCTGTCCACGTGCAGCCTCTGAAACAGGGCAACCATGGTCAAAAGTCTAGGCTGGGCTCAGTATGCCTCCTGTGCACCCAGCCTAGTCTTCCTCCCCTCCCCTCCACCTCCCGCCCACCTGTGCCCAACCCACCCGGCTGCTCGGGGGCCGATGGATGAAGGTGAGCTCCTGGGTTGTCAGCAGAACCCGATGGGGTCCTCGCACCAGCCGCAGCTGCTGGACACCAAACCTGGAGGCAAGACGGTGGGTGCAGGGTGGTGGGGATGGGCATCTGAGTTGCCCTCGCCGCGATTAGGCCTAATTCGAGCCCTTCCCTCTTCCCGTTCTATCTGGCACCAGTCCCAGGTGGGCTGAGGGGCACCTCTGAACCTAATGCCCCTACTGGCTCAGAGCCCAAGCTGCTTCCAAGATGCATGGGGCTGGGGGCTAGGGAGAGTTGGAGAAGGAGGTCCAACCAGAGGCTTGGCCCAAATTCAGGGAGGGTCTGGATCCAGGACCACAGAGGGATCTAGGGAGACTTGTGACCACCCCTCTCATTGTGCAGATGGTGCTCAGGGAGGGCGTGTGGCCAAGCCACAGGCTCTTCCTCAGAGCCCAGGGGGACCTGCTCCGGAGGCAGCCCGGGGCTCAGGCAGAACCCTGGCCTGGGTTTAGGACGGACAAGAGTGCCGGGTGGTCCTGAGGCTCTGGGAGGCGAGTGGGAAGAGCCCCGTGGTTTTCGAGGGCCGGGCACGGAGAGCGTGGTCCTGCGGGCGGTGCACGGAGAGCAGGGGCAGGCTCAGCACGGGCCGTCTCACCTGATGAGGCAGGTGAGGGCCCCGCCAGCCAGCACCAGGACACAGGCCAGGACCAGGGCCAGGAGGCTGCCCAAGGGCTGCGTACCTATGGGGGAAGCCGGGCAGGTGGAGTCAGAGCAGGAAAGACCACCCTCCGCTGTGTCCTGGGACAGCTCCCGCCCTGGACGCAGAACTCGCTGCCATCAAGTCCGTTCCGACTCCCAGGGACCCTGCAGGCCAGAGTCCAGCTGCTCCTGTGGGTTTCCCAGTCTGTGACTCTGCTCTTTACAGTCAGCCTTTCTCCCGAGGATCGGCTGGCCTGGCTGGTGGCAGCCCAGCACCCCACCGCAGCACCCCAGGGCTCCTGGAAAGTGGAGGGAAAGCCCCGGCCCAACCTGCTCCCCAGCGTGGAGCCCCAGGATGGGCCGGTGGGAAACCTGTTGTCACCACGACATAGGCGTGAGTTCCCCATACTCGGGCCCCTGAGCAGCCCTGTGACAGCGCTGACCACTTGGTGGCTTTTTATCTCAGGTGACAGCTCGGCCCTCCCCTTAGTCCTAGAGCCGCAGCTGACAGGCTTGTGTCTCATTGACCTGTGTTCCTGGCACCTGGCCCAGGGCCTGGGCAGGCCAGGGGCTGGATGCAACTGTATCAGATGAGCACCCGTGCCCCTCGTTAAGCTGTTTCTGCTTGCACACCCACTCTGCAATGGGTCCCTGGGGAGAGCGGTGGGAGGAGCGGCAGAGCTGAGGCCATGGAGGCTGTGGAAGGTTTGTTCAGGGCAGGGACATAGCAAGTCTGGCCAAGCCTGGGATGACCACCCCCCCTCCACCCCCAGCGGCAGGACCCCAAGTAGGCGTGTGGCAGGGCAGGTGGGCGTGCTTGGTATTCGCAGAGCATGTGCTTGTCTCTGTGTCCCTGTACACACATGTGTGTCATGTGATTTCATTCATGATGAAGCCCTGCCATCGACGATGGTCGGGAGTCAGAATGGGTGGGCTTCCTCATCTCTGTGGCCAGGAGGTAAGATACCCAGATGTGGGCTCAGTGTGAGCTTGGTAGCCGCCTACCTGCTTAACATCGGGCCTGTCTACAGACCTTGCTGAGCTTTGGCTCTCTAGTGCCTCTGAGGTTAACGGGCTACTCACTGGCTGGGTGTGAGTCAGGAATGCTGGGAGGTGGGATGTGCTCTGCAAATGTGGAGGGGAGTCCTGGATCACCAACGAGGGTGTTTACCTCCATGGAAGAGGGGCCCTAGACAATCAAGTGTTAAGTATTTGCTGCATTGGTCCCTGCTCCTGACTGAGATGGTCTTGAATATTGGACAGAGGAATGGATGGACAGATGGATGGATGGATGGATGGATGGATGGATGGATGGATGGATGGACAGATGGAGGGATAGGTGTATGTATAGATGGAGATATAGGTGAATGTATGGATGGATGGACAGATGGAGAATTACCTTGCATGCAGAGCCTATTGGGGTCAAACCAGCAGCCAGAGTCACGAGCTGGGGGGGCCCCTCCTGGGAAGTGTATGGCTCTGCCCAAGGGCCGCACTTGCCACGTGCCCGCATCCAGGATGTGAGTGGGGACCAGCTGGCTTCCCCAACCATCTGTGTCCAGGATGACATACTGGGCCAGCCTCCGGCCCTGCTCATCTGTCCGGATCCTCTGGCTAAAGCCATCCACGTCCAGACCCCCTGTGTAGCTCCCCAGGTGGGCCCCTGACGTTCCTGCCACCTGGCTCTCAGAGCGGTTCAGGGCATGGGCCAGCAAGATCACAGCATCATAGATGGTTCCAAAGAGTGGGGACACCTGCCAAGGAGAAGGCCCCCAGTCCCATGGCACAGGCTGGGACTGTTGTTACAGACACACAGA